AAATGAGTGTTGCTGTAACTTAAACAGATACTGGCTCTTTGGAGACATGAAAATAAAAATGTTCTGGCGCTAAAACCTGGCCCTGACAGGTCTATTACACTCACAAAAGTCTGATCGTTTTCTTCTAACAGTAGTTCTCTTAAAAATTAATGATGCATACTTTCCATGCTATCTCATTACTGATGCACAACACAGTAGGTTCAGATGAGATTCCAGCTAGGCGAGTACTCAGTCAGGGGGGCGTATTCCCCCTTGGCAAGGAATGGGCTTAGTTCACCAAAAAAACTTTCCTTCTCTGTATCTTTTTCTATTTAATCTACAGAGACCTTCAGTGAGATCTCTCTTCTCCTTTCCAGTTGTCAAAATGACTGCTTTAGATCTCCATCCTGAGTTTAAAATTCCATATAATAGCATAAAAATAGTATTTTTTTTAAACTGAAGTTCGGAAAAAACCCAAATATTTCAAAAGAAATCTTTTTCTATAGCACACGTTAAAATTTCCATTAATATTTGAAAAGATCCCAGTGGATGAGAACTTTTCTCCATAAAGCTGCAATAGTTAAGGTGTTCAGAGTACTGAAATTCCCAGCATAATTCTCATGACAAATTCCCTCAGGCTAATTATCACTAACTAACAATGCAGCAAATAAGTAGCTTTTAGCCTTTTAATTTAAGTAATTTTAAATAAATTAATCTCTGTAGTCGTATATCAAACATGTAAATCAGCTTTCTAAAGGAGCTTGTGATTTAACTCCATTTCTTGCCCACTCCCACACAACTGGCTCCCTCCAGCCCAGAAAAGGCCTGGGAAAATATGTAGAATTGGCATTCTGGTACAAAGGACAGCAGATCTGGCTGTGCTAGGGGAGTGCAGGGCACAAGGGAGTGTGGTTCAGCACCCCTCACCCAGCTGCAGCCTCGGACTTCTGTAGATGCAGGCGTGCCAGTGGCCAAGGGATGTGTGCTTATCCAGTATTCCCAGTGCACACAAAATCCCCAAACTGGTGTTGTTTTTCCCTTTACAGCTGAATGGTGGCTCACACTGTGTGCACTTATATGCTAACATCAATTGACTCATCTCTAAATGAGAATTAATGAATATGTATGATTAATACCAAGCTGGGCTGGCTGGGTGCCCAGGTATTGGGAGCTATGTGTTTTCCATTACTGGAATGCATTTACTTTCACTGATGGGCAGATTTTGGCTTTTATTGTTATTCTTTCTAAATTAAAAAAACCTGCAGAGGCAGAGTATTCAACTAGTAGTATGAGACTGAAAAATAATAACCTAGGACAACATGCTCACTTTGGGTGGCATTTTACTGCGGGCATTCCTACAGGAGCTGCAAAATCTAATATACAATGAAAAGCTTTTTGGCAGCCTTCACAGCATCCGAACTCCTAGTAAACACAAACTTACGGAACTGAGCCTTATTTAAGTCTCTCTTGCAATACAAGGAGAGCTACAGAATTTTCCTGGTTAACAAATGTTTGAATTTACCCATACTTCAGTACTTTACTGTGCTGGCCACATGCATTAAAAGCTGCACAGTAAGCTGCAGAATTTTATCTGCTTTACCACGGTTCCATTTTAATCCTTCCCATATTATTTTCCATTGTATAAATGGAAAATAAATGAAGTTAATGTATTGATTTTATTTTGAAGACTAAGACCTACATGCTATAGTTTTGAATTATGATTTACTGCCCTTTTTTTCCCTCTGCAGCAGAGGTTTAATTTTGTTTCATTTACCTCATGTGCTTTGAAACATCCCAGAGATGTGAAGCTTCAGTTGCAATAAAAATATTTCTGCTGCATAATGTAATAAAAAAGGCGACATGAAAAATTAAATAGGTACCTTTCTCTCTTGGATGTGTAGATACAGGGCTTTCTTGCTTGCACCTTCCAGGAGAATAACCCTTCTTACTTTTATTCTGGAGAACACTCTGGCACTGAGCAGTTTAAGCTGATTTCATAGAATCATAGAATGTTTTGGGTTGGAAGGGACCAAAAAGACCCTCTTGTTCCAACCTCCTCTCCCATTGGGCAGGGACACCTTCCACTAGACCAGGTTGCTCAGGGCCCCATCTAACCTGGCCTTGAACACTTCCAGAGATGGGGTACCCACAGTTCTCTGGGCAGCCCTCTCCAGTGCCTCACCGTCTCACAGTGAAGAATTTCCTCTGAACATCTGACCTAAACCTGCCTCTTTCAGTTTAATGCCATGACTGTGTCCTGTCACTCCGTGCCCTCTGTAAACAGCCCCTCTCCCGCTCTCTTGTACCCTTTGGCTGGAAGGCACCAGAGCCTTCTCTCCTCCAGGCTGAACAAACACAGCTCCCTCAGCCCGTTACCGTAACAGAGATGCTCCAGCACTCTGATCATCATCTCTGGGCCCGCTTCAAAAGGTCCACTTGCTTCTTGTCTTGGTAGGCCCAGAGCTGGATGCAGCACTCCAGATGGGGTCTCATGAGAGCAGAGTAGAGGGGGAAAATCCTCTCTCTCAACCTGCTGGTCACCATTCTCTGGTACTTACTGGCTGTACTAAGACAGGTGGCCAACTGCTTTGCAAGACAAATGTTCCCTCTCGCCAAAATCTGTGCTGTGATACTATGCATAATTCAGGGAAATGCATTTTATTGGACTGTGGAAGCTGAGAAGCACGTAACAACATGCTTTGTGCTTATTTATGTTAAAGTTCAGCTTTGGAACCACCCAGATGACCACTTTCACATCCCAAGCATCTGCAGTGCACAGACCAGTGTTGGAACAGGTAGGTCCTGGCACACAGACAAGTGTCAAAGTTTTACCTTCACTACTGAGTTGGCATCACCCAAGACTTCCTGCCTTAACCATACTGCAATCTGCAGCTATCAGCACACTTCTCTTACTGTTGATGTATTCAACAGATCGTAGTTGATGGTTTAATAGTATTTAATTAAGCTCAGCCCAGTTAAAGCCCAGCTGAGCTTTGGCAGCCTCTCCAGTCATTGCAAATCAAATTTTTTATTGTGAACGGGGGAATCAGGGAAAAAATTATCCCTCTTGCTCCACCCTCTGGTACTGGGCAACAGGGGACTTCCCAAAACTGCTGCCCAATCTGAACTGTCTGTATTAGAAAAACGTTTTTCACATTACACACACTCGGCATATCTTTTAAACATCTCTAATGCAGCACAGCATATGTACGTAGGTGCATATTCACACAGATGCTCTAACACACACAGACACGTGTGTGCATGTTTATATACACACATATTTAGCTGTTAACACAATGGAACAGAAGTGTCTCTCTGAAAGTGATTATTTATTCCCAGACAAAGAGCTTCCTGCAAGAAGATCAGACGTATTAGCCTTCAATACTTTAGAACTTCTCCCACTGGAACAGGCTTAAATCCCTTTTACATATTGGGTAGAATAAGAAATTTGTTGTCACTGTTTTGAACAATAAAAAGTGGTTGCAAGAAGCTATGTGTGTTCCTGGTGGATCTGTAAGCTCTTTGAAAAGAATTTTCACATCTTTTCCAGCAAAGTTCCAGATCCTAATACTACCCTGGGGGGATTAAGATGTTCAGAGTTTGCATCAATTTCTGCAGAGATCCCAGGGAAAACAGATTTGCTCATCCTGGCTGCAAATTTTTAAGTGAGAGGTTGAGCTGCTGCTCTGTGCTGTGCATGGGTCAACAGAACCCCTCAGATTTGCAAAGAGACAGAAGAACACTGTATGCTTTTCAGGGCCGGAATAAAACATTTCCCTGAACTAGTTCAGGAGGTTTTTTTGATGCCACAATTCTTCAGTACCTGGTTCTCCATGAAGGAAAGATGAGCATGTTGGTGCAACAAAACATGCAGACTACATTAAGCCTAAAGTTCTTAAAGTGCTTAAAGATTAAGTTACTTTGTGTTAACAGTGACATAACACGTCCAGAGATGTTAATCTGATTACTTTTAAACCATCCGGTTTTATACCACAAGCTGGTATAAAGTTGGCACCAAAGGAACTAAACAGCAAGCTTCCCTACAGTTACAAGCACCTGTAAAATAATCTGTAAACTTTTAAATTGAGATTTGACAGAGGGTTTGAGCACATGTCAATTTAAAGTACATAAACATTTCCTCTAGCTTACATCTGTGAAGATGAGGGAGAATAAGAACAGTGTCCATTTAGGAAAACATGTGAGGAAAGATCACTCTCTGGAAATGCATATTTACTAAATATGGTGAACTCATCATGAATACTTCAGCTCAACAAATATGTGCTGAATCTTCTAATACAGAGGCCAAAGAAAGCATTCTCAAATGTAAATCTGAATCTACTTAGATATAGAATCAGATGATTTGAGAACTGATGGCAAAACTATAAAACACTGTAAAACTCATCAGATGTCAGTGGGAAAGAGATCATTTTTGCCAGCTGACCTCTTCACCAGTTTCTCACACCTGGGAATTGTTTCAACCTTTTACATTTTCACTTGTTCCTATATACATTTATATATTTTGGGACCTGTGGAGTAATCTGTTTCTTTAATATTGAGAAACCAAGCCTGCAAATATCACATGTGGAAGCTGTATGTGATCCTGGATGTTGAGGGTTCCTGTGCTTTGACAGGTTCTGGCACCTACCAGAAATGAGGGTGTTCTGCCCAGTTAGTAAGGACTGATCAAAAGCAGAAACTGAGGTGGGCTATTACAACCCTTCCACATAAAAAGTGAAGAGTAAGGCAGTGGCAAAGGTCCCCTCAGAATCACCAAATCCTCCCAAGGCAGTCACAGCACTAATCCTTCCTTCCCACTAGTGGCATTTCCAACACCACCACTCCTGCACCCAGTGTGGTTCCATTCACTATCAACACCTTCCCATGCATTTACAAGGAGTGGGTGGGTGGGAGAGGTGGAGTAACAGGGTTCTCTCTCACAGTGTAGACCAGGAAATAGCTGACAATTTAGCACAGATGAGTAACTCAGTAGTTTATTTAAACAGAACACACTGGAGCTGAAATAAATAATTTTTTCTGTATTTTGAGTTCTATAACAGATAACACAAAACAATGTAAACATTGAAAAAAATGCAAAAATTGTGCAAAATTACTTCTGTGATAATACAAGACAAAGGCTGGCAACCAGCAGCATTTTAAAAACAACAATAGGAAACAGATCAGGCAAAACAATAATTTATATAGCATGGTAGAAATGCAACTACTCTACAGGGTTTTTCATGTAAGACAGGAGAAAGATCAGTTACATATAGTTAAACCTATGAAAGGTAACTAAACCACAGCATTTGAAAAGGAGCCTTTTATACCAGCTTCCATACAAAATGAAAATATAATCTGATTTCTTGCTGAGCATATAGCACTTTTAGTGTTTGTCTTGGCTTGTTGTTTGGGGTTTTTTCCTTTGTTTGTTTGTTTGTTTTTGTATTATGTATTAAAACCATGTTGACAGTCACCATTCAAGAAAAAGCAAAACAAAACAAAACAAAAGTTGTCATAGTAGTAGGACAAAATCCAGCTTGGAAAAATGAAGCGAAGAGAAATACAGCTATTGCAATATGAACCTAAAAAAAAAAAGTTTAATGAAAGGCACAAAGTCCCATTGTATCAATCCCTTCAGAAAAAAAGATTTGCAAATGTATGTCCAAAACAAGTGTTAAACTACAGTTCTGTAACGTTTGAGTTTAGGAGCTAGTGTGACATTTGATTCTTATTTTCCAGGGAACACAATATTAGTCACCCCAAAGCAGTGATTATGAGGCAACAATCTTACATATGTGTATATATTTGTATCTGCACATCCCAGTAGGTCACTGAAGTCACACAGCAACAAAACTCCTCAAAGGCCAATTACAGGTTTTCTAAGAACTCCTGAAGAATGGGGAACTAAACTTAAAAAAATATTTTACACAGCAGTTTCATATCTGAAAAGTCATCAAAAATTACAATGAGAATTAATGAAGCTTGACTCAAATCCAGCCTTTAAATTATTTCTGTAGGAATAAAATTGTTTATTCTCCAGTCATTTGACTCGATAAGGAAAACTTGTTTGGGATTTTTTTACTGATGAATCAAACTGGCCCAGGCACTGTAACAAAGAATTAAATAGTTTATCTTTAAAAACCTGACTAGAAACAACAAAATAATTTGGAAGAATGATTAACTGTGTAAGCAAGTAGCAGGACATACATAATGTAATTCAAAAACTAAACAATTTAGTTGAATTTTCATATGCATTAGAGGCTTATTAACCTGAACTGTCTGAAGAAGTTGATGATACATGGATTCATCTGACTGTATTTAACCCTCAAATTTTCATCCAGAAACTGCTACCAATGGCAAACAGCAAAATACACAAAGTTCAGAGATTCTGAAGTATGTTACTGCCCTCTTGGGAACCTGAATGGGGGAAAACACAGAAAAAGTTTAGAGCATAGAAGAAAACAAAAGACAACTGAGAACTCTATGGCTAATATGAAGGAAAAAATACTGCTGTATTCCCACATCTGTATTTGCATTCTGTTTACAAAGTTGGGGTTCAGGGCATTCAGATTAAATGCCTGAATTTTTATACCGAAGAAGAAAGAATTCCCTCCATCATAAATATGTGGTATTTTGCACAGATTTATCCTCTTAGATCTGGGCATTTTAAGATTAAAGTCCTCAAAATACCACTGTCAGTTGTGGTGTTGGAAGTAGGAACTTCTGTTGCAAAAGTCTATTCACACCTTCTTAACCTTTGGCTGAGGTCAGGCAGCCAAACCACATTCTTAGCTCTACAAGTAAGAGATGGAATCTTAAGATACCATTCTTTAGCATTTGTAAATGGTCAACCATGCAATAAATTAAGTCCCATGCAATAAATTAAGTCCTAACCTGAAACAATCCCATAGCAATGAAAAATGGACAGGATAACAGAAAAAAATATTACAATAGCAACTCTTTTTGGGGGTATGTCTTAAGTACTTAGACACAACAACCTACTGATGCACGCAGTTCAAAGTTTATTTCTGCTACTAGATTTGATTAGGGTATTTTCCCCCATCATAAAAGAAATTGCTTTTACATTTAAAGATTGAATATTCTCAGAATCTTTTTTTTAATGAAACACATATTTTCACTACATAGGAAAGATAATATTTTAGCCTGCTATTTCACATGATGAAAACATTTGAAAGACCGCTTAGTTGAAATTTCTGTAGAATAGCCTTCAAATTATAACATAAATTCCTAAATGTTGGCTTGAGGGATGCAATTTTTAGAAGAAACAGTCTGACAGATCTCGATGAATTTATAGCTTCTCATTTGCTAAATGAGATTTGGCAACTGAAACCAAAGGTCAGTATCTCACTATAATACAGGAGCAGAACAGGAAGAGTTTTGCAGATCAGTGGCAAAAGCTTGGAAGCTTCAGTGCTGCCATTTTTAATGTCTGTTCTTCCACCAACATTTGCAATACTTCAAGTACTTGTTTTAAAACATCTTTCTGTAGTAGTATATGCCTTCCTTTGGAAGCTCTGATCTTCTGATTTATCTTAGGAAAAAAATTTGCCTTTCACAGTCGTTTTTGACCTTGAAAATGTGACTACCATTAATAAAGAACTAAGCATGAAGACTCTTAGTATTAGAATCAAATGTTCAGCTTCTTAAAATGTTAAATACTTCTCTCACGTTGCTTTATTAACACACTCCAAGAAAACAAAGAAAAAAATTAGGATTTTGCTGTGATTTCCTGGACAAGTCAAGAGGCTGTGCAACTTGGCACATAAGTCATGAAAACTAACCATTATTGCAAGATAATTGTAAAAAATGGTTTTTTTGTCATGAATTATAGAACAAAGTCCTTCCTGCTGACTACATCACTGAATTCCAATGTAAGAACTTCTCACACATAAATCTTGCTGCACAGTAAATTTGAAAACTCACAAGTAATTCTCAAGTGTTCAAATGAAAACATGTACTCTGAATGCATGTGTAGTAATACATAATGAAGGAATTTAGAGCCCAGCTTTTCAGAATCAAAACTGTAGGCAAGAGTCCAACAGCAGAAGTTGTTTTAGCTCCAGTTTTGTTTTTAAATCATCAACACCAATGAAGAACCCTTACCAGTGGGATTCTTGGAAATCTTATTTTAAACACTGGATGGAAGACATTGTTTTCTCTCCAGCGTTTAAAGCGTTATCTACCATGACCAACTAGAGGCTGTGGCATTTAACTCATGAATAAGAAAAAAAATCAGAGTTAAAAAAAAGTGAAGTTCTGACCATTTGCAGAGACACCACTTCTGCTCATTAGTCCTCAGTCAAAGCACAGACTTTGGACCTGTGGATATCTATGCTGATTACCAGAATAGAACAGCTCTGAAGAAGGACCCTGCCTGAACTGCCTGGCTCGAAGCAGGAGAGATGAAACACTAAACCCAGGGACAGAATATGCTGAATACCAAAGTGTGAAGGCTAGAGATGAAAACTTCTATCCATACCAGACTTCCTTTAGGAAAAGCAGACACCTGATATACTTGTTCACTGGAGGAAATATATCCCAGTAAGGAAAGGAAGGACATAAAGTGAATCTCTCAGACAAAATGCACACTTGGCTACTTGTTTTCACTTCCATTGAAGCTAAAAGCCAGGTTAAAAGATGTACAGTTTATATTTTGATTCTTTATTGCTCTATTTTTCTACTTGCTTTGTATAATATACTTTTTTCTTGTGCTGTTCTGTCTGTGTGACCATTTTGCTTACATGAATACATTCACCTGAATAAATATACTCCTATTTATCTCTGAAACAGTTAACTGTATAGGCTACTCTTTCCTGCACGTTTTACTGCTGATCACTTGTGATAGGCATTCAGTCCTTAAACCTGGTGAGCTTCTTATACTGTATCCTAATGCTGCATTCTTGATATTCAAAGGAATGCTCAAAGGACAAGCTTGTTTTATCCTGCAAGACTATTATTGACAACCACCCACAATGTGGGTTGAAATACGTTGTCAAAAAACTAAATTTACTCCATTTTCATGACAGACAATTTTGTCCTGTGGTTAGATCTCAGCAACAGAAGAGCATTTAGCCACTTTTCTTGTAATGATATCAAATCATATACACAGCTCCAAGTTAATGGTTTTTCGTTTTACCTTCAGCTCAGATTCAAGTGAAACTTTGAAGCCCAAAAAACAGGCTTATTTTAGTCTGATAGAAAAATGAGACGAGACAATCCAAGTACAAATTTATGTCAAAATCTAAGTTCTAGTACGTACAAAATGCCTTTTTTTAACATCGTGTGCTTCACAAAAAAAAGCACAATGTTTTATTTTCTAGTGTCCTTTGCATCAGTTACCTCATCAATTTTCTCTAGAAGCCATTTATTTTTAGTAAAGTGATTACTTTGTAGGCAGCTGATATCGTCAGCATCCAAAAGTGAAGGAACCATTACCCATGTGCTATTATTTAAATAAAAGAAAATATTTTAAATTTGGAATAAACATACCCAGATGTAGTGTTTTCTTTCAATACTCCAGAACTCCTTAAGTAGAAGTTTTACTTCTTTTGGCTCTCTTTAACTTCGAATAACCTTCTTCTTTCTGCTTACAAAAACAAGACAAACAGAAAAGGGCAAAAACCAATAAAGCAAATGAAGCAGGAATATTAAGCTAAAAATTCAACTAAAAAAGTTGCTTCTGAGTGAAATGCCTAGTTGAATAAGAAGTAATTAATAAAAGTTTCTGGTTTGCAATATAAATAATTTTAAGTATGTTTATAAGTACAGTGGCTATATAATTAGGACCATAGCTACTTTGAAAATACCCTTTACATGCTGATAACCATGACTTTCAAAACCAACTATAATTTCTGATGATCAGTAATGACAAAGGCTTACTCTTCAGAGATGTGTTTAGCAGTGTCCCCTGTTATTATATTTTAATTATATTGTATTTTAATCCGGGGACAGGAGGAATCAGCCCAATAAGCATCAGAGAGTCCATCCCTACCCCAATTAGCAGACAAGTCTCTTTCCTATTCCTGACACACCTGAGAGCTGTACATCCAACTCTCGAGTGCAGCAGTGGCAGCACTGCAGTGGCAATGTGGCAGTGAGAACTTGCTGTGCCCTGACACTTCCTAAAAGCAGCTTGCAGGGCTCAGGCAGGCACCTGTGCTACTCACAGCTTGCCTGGAGAGCGAGGAATGCATGGGGCACTTGTGGCTCCTGGCAGTGCCCCTTCCCCATTCCAGCAGTGCTGCCAGACCAGCTACAAGCTCTCCATGCTCACAAGCCCTGGTGTGGCTGAATCATTCCCAGTGGCAGGTAAAGGAATATTGTGGTGGAAGTCCCCTCTCAATATCCAGACCCCTAGGGCTGTTATTCTTATAAAAAGCTATTTTCAGTTGCTGGTTTCGTTCTCTTTGTGAGAGTGACTCTACAGTGCTGGGCCTGGAACCAGTGACTCAGTTGTGGCCCTGTGGAAGGGCCTTTCCCAGCTGCAGTTGGATGGGGCCAGCTCAGAGCAGCTGGGCTGGCGCTTCCCACACAAACTCCTCTCTTCCCTGCTGCAGCTCGAGCTCTGGGGTATGAACATGTTCCTGCAGCAGGCCCCTGGGGCTGCTGCACTGGCCTTTTCTGATCTGCATGGAGAGCACAGACTGTGTTCTTTTAATTACAGTTAAACATCCAGAATTGTCTTGTATTTGGCTTTAAAAGCATAACAACAACAAAAAAGTAATTTTTACAGAATGTTGTTAAATTCAACTCCTTGAAAAACTCACAGAGCCACTGAGAATGTCTAGAGTTGTACTGGGCAGGATAGAACTTTTCTGCAGAATCAGAAAATCTGCTTCAAAAACAGTAACATCATTAAATATTTCAGTAGCATCTTTTGCTGCAGAGAAACATTCAACATGAACTCTTCAAGTGACAGTATCATACCTGATGGTTACTATTAATTTTATCCTGGTTAAGGTTAATTTTATCCAGGGGGGTCAGTAAGATTTCTTAGCCTGCCCATTTTAATTGGAACATACTAAAAAATTTTAAGTATCTTTTTTATCTCTTAATTCAGGTCCTTCTGGACTGGATTAAGGTGTGCATGTGTGTGTGGGGAGAGTGAGGGGGTTTACCTGTCTTCTTCTGGCACAACCTTTCTTTACAGATGCTTCCATGTTGTTCTCCATGTCTGGCAAAGTTGGTTTTGAGGTCAGTGTTTCACATGTCAGATACCTGCTCCCTGCAATCATCTTAAAGTATAGAAGTTTATACCTTCATTAGAAAAACACCCCACAACATTTTGAACAAGACCTGAACTTTTAAAATTACCTGCTTTTTTTGGAAGGTGCCGTCATCACACAAAGCTGAGATAACCCACCAAGTTACATTGTATAGATGAAAAGCATGATAAGACCAAGACATTCCATCCATGTACCCAATATATGGAATATCATCCTCATAAAAATTGCACTGAAATCAGCTCAACTATTAATTTAATTGCAATGCAGGGAGAAATACAGAAAAATTAGGTGGCAAAGTACTTCTAGCTGTCACATAATCATAACTTTTACTCAAAACAGAGCTAACTTCAAAGATAGATCACCTTGCTCTGGGCCCCATTCAGTCAAGTTCTGAAAATCTGGAAGGCTAACAGACCCAAAAACCTCCCTCTGGAAATTGTTCTAGTAGCTGACTAGCTGTTCTAACACTGAAGATTTTTTTCCTCATGGCCAGTGAGATTTTTTTCCTGTTGCAACTTGTGCTTTTTGTGAAATTGTAATTAAACGTGTTTTTGCAAAACTTCCATGTTTTCTAACAGCACAATGCCTTACACACAACTGTTGTCAGTGCTACACAATTGATGATGTTTGAGATTTCCTTCCAGGAGGAAGGGATTATCCCATTAATATGGATTTATATGGAGAGAGACTGAACACCAAAAAAAAAATGTCACCATGTTAACCTCACACAGACCTGGATAAAATGTCTAAAACAAAGGAAGACTAATTGCCTCACCACAGAAGTCCCAGATTAAAGAAGTGTTAATTTCACAAAACACAGTAAATCATCTTCCCTTTCAGAAAAAAAAAAAAAGCAGCAGTGGCTGAAAACATTAAGCTATATGGTAGAATTTTAGAAAACTATTTTGAGAATGATGGTAGAACATGATGAAAGTCATGCTCTTTATTGCTTAACATTTTGAATTTGTGAGAAGCAGTGAGAATGAGACCTGTTCTTTACTGTACCTGTTCAAAGTTAGGTTTGGAATGATGACTGGTTGTCTCAGCAGTACAGTCCTTAGAGTGGCATGCTGCTTTGTTTGCTTCACTTTTGGCCATGCACACTGTATCTTTGAAGACAGATTCATGAATATTTAACCCAGCTCCTTTATTTGATCTCTTTGTTTGTTGCAGTGGCAAGCTGGAAATTGTCATTTCATTGTCTAATTTACAAATTTGCAAATGCACTTCCTTTGACTGGTGTTGTTTCTCAAAAAATTGAGTAGTATTTTGACTTGCAAACTTTTTCCCCCTTCTTGCACTAGAAGTAGGAGATTCATGTGTATTCAGACATGGACTGGTGCTTGACTTCTGAAGCACTGGCCCAACATGTTTAAGAAAGAACAGAGAATTTGTCTTTTTGTGACTGACTTCACTTGGACTCCCACCTGAAGCAGAGTTTTCAGAAAAATCAGAGTTAGTAATTTGTCCATTAGACTGGGTTTTCCATCGGAATATGGGTGTACCATGTTTTGGGTGTGTCTTTGTGTTCTTTACCTGAAGGGCGCTGCTGTCAGTAGGAGTTTTGACTGGCACGTCTTGAATGTGTTTGAAAACCTGAGTTATGCTGGATTTGTGCACAGAGAGCATAGAAGATGAAATACCCACACTTTTTATTGGTGAATGCCATTCAGCATTTTCCCTTTTCTTCCTATCTGTTTGACTTGTGATCTTTCCATTCATTTGCATCAACTTTCCTTTGAAAATTGGTATAATTTTGCTGACTTTTGGGGGCGTGGATTCAAAGGCTGAGTTTACAGGTGGTGCTAAAGATTTTGCCGTTGGTAACTTTGGCACGCCAGGTATTTGCTTATTGCTCATTGACTTCTCTGTTGCTTCAATGCTAACCCCTCCTGTAGTCTTACTCGAAAAACTGTGTGCTCCTGGCTCTTGGATCAAACACTCCATCCAGTGGCTATTTTCCGCACTGCACGGTGAAGGAATTCCAGGCAAAGTCGGTTTTCTTGGAGGAGCCTGCGTCAGAGATACTACACAAACCATCTCACCGTCCAATTTTGTATGCTTAGGTTTTATTTCCTGCAACACATCAAGAGCTGCTGAATTGAATAAACTGGATTTAACGGTCTAATAGTGCCACCTAATGCATTGCTATATGATATCAACTTAATACACATCACAATACATAAGCATACAATTCTGTGTTTTGGATTAGAATGACTGTATTTTAAAACAATATTTAGTTGTCACTATAAATTAAGGGGTTTATTTAATCTTCCGAATTCTTTGTTTACAAAATATGCTAGAATATCGTATTTCTCAGAAGGAAAGACTTAATTATCTTGGTTTAGTGCTTTCCAACTGGATACTGTCTACCCCTTTTGAAGGGTTCTGCAGAGGGTTTGACTGACAGGGTTCCTCATCCCTTAAGACTTCTAAGAGCATCTGTATTCTGAGAAAAAGACAGTTTGGATGTCTATAAAAACTGCAGATGACACAGAGGACCCATTCTAGCTTTGATCACTGGAGAGACATAAACAAGAACTGCTTTCTGAAAGAGGATTATAGTATTTTAGAAACTCTGCAACTTCTGTCACTATTCTTTGTTCAGAATGAATTACTTCATTTCTTCTTTCACACACTACTACCAAAAAAATGTGAGCCTCAGCCTTTGTCACAACCTCAAATTATAGGAGTTTTGATTACTTGCCTCCTTTCTATCACCAGACATGGAGTAAATCTTACAACTTGAATGTTTTAAAATGCTTATGTCCACACAGTCCTCTTTTTAAATAAATTGTACTACTATTACTACTACTAGTAATAACAATAATAGAATCATGAATGGTTTGGGTTGGAAGGGAACTAACAGATCATCTAGTCCCAGCCACACTGCCATGGGCATGGACAACTTTTACCAGACCAGGTTGCTCAAAGCCCCAGCCAGCCTGGCCTGGAACATTTCCAGGGATGGGGAATCCACATCTTTGGGCAGCTGTTCCAGTGTCTGACCATGCTCACAGCAAAACTCTCTTCCTAATATCTAATCTAAATCTCCTCTTTTTCAGTTTAAAGCCATTCCTCCTTGTCCTGTCATTACATGTCCTTGAAATACTAACAATAGTAATAATGTCACTGTTGTTATTGTTGTTATTACTATTTTTATTATTATTATGGAGGAGATTCGAGAAAGTTCTGGATCTCAAACTGTAAAAAAAAATCTATAGAACTGCAAATACTAATAGCAAATAATTAACATCAAGTCCATTTTTTATGTATTTAAAATGTTAATAACTTCACAATGGCAAATACTATAGCTTGCACATTAATTTAAAGTTCTAGGATTGATGGTTGTGAAAAGCATAGTTTTGTGCTCTTACTATGCTCTGAATATGATAAAGATCACTTCATACAATGAAAAAGTATGTGCCATTAATATGTTTATAAAAAAAGTCTTACATGCACTGAAGGCCTGGTGAGTTCTTTTGTAGCATAAAGTGCTTTACTTGTCATCTTTACTGGAAATCCACACAGCTGTGAAAAATTGCTCTTCATGTCAGAAAGAAAAGAGTTCACTACACTTTCTGCATCTGTTCTGGGGAAATACTGCACTGGCTGACTTCGGATGCAACTTAAAGGGTACCTGAGTAAGTGTTCAGGGATATATAACAAGTTTCTTTACATTTCTATAATTACTAATCATCCTTGTTGAGAAGAAAACATGAGTTTGTCTAAATGTTTTTTTAAAAGGTGAACAAAGGCACTGAATTCCTTATGGGCCTGAACTTCATAAAGTTAAAGGACTTCAGCACATCTATACCACACTAACTTATTAGAGCAAAGATTACTCACTATAAGTAACCTTTAGTCTAGTCTTTCCCGGCAGGAAAATTCTCTTTAAAAGCAATCTTTGTTGGCCACATTTTTACACAATTTAACTTTCTTCTACACCACTTTCTTTTACATCACATTTAAAGTGGCATTATCACATTTATGGAAGCTGTGAAGGAAATTGTTCTATTTGTCTTCCTATTATTCAATACTGGGACAGAGACTTGACTAAATATTTTGTTTCACTTTGTCTAGCAAAATACTTCTCTACTGACTACTATGAAATTATGAAAGAAGGGAATGTGGCATACTCAAAAATGAAAAGCAGAGCTTTGCTAGAAGTGTAGGAGAGGAAATGTAATAAATATATTCTGAAAGGATACGTAAAGAACCTTTCCCCTATTGGTTTGAAGTAAACACTCAAGTATATTTTTGTCTCTTCGAGATCCTCAGGAAGAATATATCCATACTTGGATAAACCAAATATAAACAGGTATTACAAGGACAAACTCAACAGGCACAAAAAAGGGAGGGAGAGATGAGAGCAGTGCATGTGTTTCTTACCAGACTCTTCCAGTGCATCTGAAAATCCTTATATGAACGGAAAGGAGATTCTGGAGGAATTATGTGGCTGATGTTTATGATCTGACCCATTTTCATGCTGTGCACAGGTAAAGAAGGGATGCTTAGAAAGGGTGTAATAAAATCTAGTTGAAAATGTACTGGTCTTTTGGGAAAAAAAGTCCTATTTTTGGCATTTAAAGTATTTAGAGATTATTTTTATGTTTTGAGGACTAATACCTTTAGCTCATAAGTTTATAATATAACAATAGCAATATTTCCCAAAGTATGGTAGAGAACATGACAACTACAAGTGCCATTTCTCTTCAACACTCACTAGCAGTGAACAAGCATCATTACTTCTTTTCTATTTAATGATGAAAAATATTAGGTAAAAATGGAGGTAGTTCATGGCGAAGGTGAAAATACTTTTTCTTTAAATTGACTTTCTGCTAAAACTGTATTTGAGAAAACCTGATGCTCTTGCATACCATATAAGTAACACAAAGATTACTAAAATCAAAATAGTATTTAAATGTGTAATTTATGTTTTGTTGATTATTTTTCTTATTTTCCTTAACAATGAGATAATAAAAACAACAACAACAACAAATACCTGAATTTAAAACAGACCGTAAAACAGAAGTGTTCTTATCACTAGCATCAAATTCACAATCTGTAGGGAAAACATTCCAAGAAATGTTTATTTCTGCTGAAATGTGAACAGATTCCTACCTTGGCAAAACATAGCACCAGTTACTTAATATGGAATGTTGCTGAATAACCATATTTTCATTGCTGTCAAACAGTTTTGTGGTGTTTGCTGAAATATCAAAATCTCCCAGCTTAAAACAGAAAAGAAGGTTTATTTGCAAATAATTCTATAGCAGTACAAATATAAAATTTTCAGAAATAATTGTGTATCACCATACACTGAAACTTGATATATTATTATTCTTTCATCAGCTCTCACAAATTTGATATTCCCATCATCAAATTGCACACTATCTTCTGTTAGAGCCTACACTTCCACAAACCATGCCAGTACAAGGTTTAAAGTTTATTGAAATCAGTGAGATTTAAACTTTATTTGAAATGGTTTAATAGGAGTATAGAACTAATTTCTCAAACTGAGAGCTGTCTCACTTCCATGCACATTTTTAAAAAGTTCAAAGCAGACACCCATGCTCGGCATTCTAGTAAATGTGTGTGTCACTTTGACTAAGCATGTGCAAATGTCCAAGGAACACAATCAATGGGACATGCAGTTTCATCCTCTGATGGACATTTCTGTTTTAGAAAAGTATTGAAAGGATGAAACTGGTAATAAAGCCACATCACGATCTTTTCCATCATTGGTCTGTGTCATTTGGGAACTGGCTTCTTATAGATAGCTTTAATGTTTATGCTGTCCCAAGCAGGTCTCAGAAGAAATCCTATTCTCCTCTTTCACCAAAGAAGAGCTTGGATGAGAAATATTTATTTTAGAAGAAAGCAGCAAGCCTGACAAATATGCCCTGCATGTAAGGACATATTCACCACAGGTGGTATGATTGTCAAAAAGGCTAGTAAGTTGTCAACCTCAGCCATGATTTCTTAAACAATGTATAAATTAAGCTTACAAGCATCATAGTCCTGGCTGCTCCAGTATTTTGGAATCTGCATAGAAATTAAGCAGATTTCATAATAACTATAAAAAGAGATTTTGAACATGGTGCTGACAACTCACTTGTAGTTGCCCTGTTACTAAAAACCGTCTATGTACTACAGTGTGACTGAAAGCTTTCTCGAAAACACTGCTAGAAGGAAATCGAGAGCCACAAAGACACATCACTGCTATATTCTGTTAGTATTTTTGAAAGCTCTCTTAGCCTTGAATCTCAGTTTTACAATGCTTGCTAGAATGCATCAATATAGATACAATATGCAAGTTATGCTTTCATAACCTGTGCAGATAGTCAAATGAATATGGTTAATGTCTCAGTGCAATCAGAAATAAGCACTTCTATCCCCACCATGCTAACTGGAAGTCACCTAACAGAAAAGAAAATTAGAAGAAAAGAAGATTAATAAAACAGACACAGTCATAGGAAATATAACTGGTTTATACCTTGGGGGGTGGCAGCCGAATTGAGCAAGGCTCCACACTGATGCAAAGCTGTCTCTCTGACACATTGAGGTCTATAACTAAATTTAAAAAAAAAAAAGCACAATATCCTGTTTTGAATTACAGCTCATCTCTTAGGCAGAAAGCTAAACCAAATATTTATTTAAGGTAATTGTTAGTCAAAATGCTGTGCTTGAAAATCAAAAGGCTAGACTTTCTCAGCACAGAAATTAGAATTAGGTGCATTTTAACAGTGAAAAATAAGAATAATAATGAATTCCTATCATACAGTAACTCAGAAACTCAAGGCTGTCTGTGCAACTGTGTGCTTGATACTCATGTCCTTGACAAACAAACACCCATTTTCAGAGCAGATGTAATTAATATAACCATTTGCTGCACTGAATCATTCAGACCAGTATTTTCCATCCAGGAGCTGTCAATAGGAAAGACTAAATGAGCAAGGCGAGCATTTATAGACACATCTCCGGAACTTTCACTCAGCTCTGAGTTCCTCAACATATATCTCTGCTACAATTTTAGGCTCCAATATCCTCAAATGTAACCTTTAACTTTTATACTGGAATAAAAATATTACTTTGTAATTTTTTCAATAGCTAGCCACCATGCTTAGTGACTTCACTTTTGTGAACAGCAAACAGTACATACTGGACAGTCACTATAGCTCATTTTCCTATCTATTAATATGGAACTTTCACATCACTTGCAAGACTCATAATCTAAGGTAAGTACATTTAATTGCAATAATTATAACTTTAAAATGGCAAATGTCAATCTAGGGCTCTAGATAAAAAGTATAAAAATGATTTTGTGACTAATTTTTCAAATGTTCAGTTGAGCTGACAACAATTACAGACAGAACACCACCTGCCACCAAGTGTATTTTGACAGAAGTTATTTCAGAATGAAAACCAAAGACCCTGTGCTGATAATACCAAGATTGTGGCAGTAACTTAACTTTACCTTGCTCTCTCAACTTTACCATTAACAGAATATTGTACTTACCAACAGCATTTTGCCTTCCTGAATGACACAAAAAGTCTTTCCCTTAATAAATAGAATAGACAGACATTATATTCTATACCATATCTCTAAAGTCTTTATGTGAAAAAAAAAGGAGAAACCACACAGTTTTGTTTGTGTCTATCACAAATGTTGAAAGGTGTGTTCCTTCTAAGGAGAGAAAATCCTCTCAATCAATTAACTTTTCACTGATTCATTAACATCTTCTACAAGAAAGAGACATATAAAAAAGTAAATTGGTGGGCAGCAATCTATACATCACTTTTTCCTCCTAATCCTCTACTTCAGCTGCTTCTCCTGAATTGGCTGATTTCATTCTGAGACCCATATGTTTTGAAGATGCTGAGAAGAGAATACTGTTGTTATTGTGGCTGGAATTAAGATAACAACATGCACACTTCTCTCAACAAATATTTGAAATTATGTATACAATTGTTCTAATTATTACAAGCTACACTGTAGTTTTTTATACTTTGGTAATTCACATTTATACTACACAGGAGTTAGCAGAGATGTCAGGCAAAGCAACTATGATCCAAAAAAGACAGAGCTTGGTAGAAGGAGAGGGTCTGACAGAAAACCGGTTCTGTTTAGAAAAGCCTACAAATCATGTGCAGAAGTGTCACTGAGAAATCGAGAAACGGGCCAAATTTTTAGAAGACATTCTCTGTCCAACAATATTGTTAGTACATTGCAGTCAGTTGACATAAATATTTGATCTATTACAAAGATCAGGAAGAAGATGAAAAGGTGATTGGCATGTCCATTCAGAATATTAACTTGAGTCATTGAACTTGGATAACAAAATGAAAGTGCAAATAAAGAAAAAAGTAATAGGATAAAGGAATGAAACAATTTATTATAACGAATGAAATAATTATGGAATTTAAATAATGGAAAATAAATGCTACAATAATGAATTGAAACTAAATGCTTGATCCCTGACCCAGGTGAATCAAATACCTTGCACCAGGAGATGACCAGCCTTGTTCCATCTGGGTGCAAGCCTGGCTGTAAGTGTGTAGGAGAGACAGGTTTGGAGAAGGGCTGGAGTAACTGTTTGCGGTGCTTCCAGCTAACAATAACAGAGACAAAAAGAAGGATATATTTTTAATAATTTAACAGATTTTTTTAAAGGCCTGAGTCAATATTTAAGCAAATATACTGCTACTTCATCTTGGAGAAAAATCCTAGTATGTGCCACACATGTTTAGCTTTCATCTACTTAGCTACAAGAGGAAGGTAGCACCGTATTTGATGCAGACATTTGGATTTCACGCGCCATTAAAGTGAGGTGCATGATAGTTCCTAGAATGCTTTCACAGGGCTGATAACAGACTCAGGGAAAAGATAATTGAACCCTCTGGAGTACATTACTAGATATGCAACTTCCTCCTGACAACAGGCACAACATCCAAAGCTGATATTACCTCTGCTGTCAGAGTCAAGACCAGAGACATTTTCTGGCAATCACAGGAAATAAATGTAGTTTTGCTCACCCAACAGCTCTACTTGCCTGCCTGTCCTGTAGAGCATTCTCTTAACCATCAGCATTAGTCAAGAAACTAACAATAATAAGTTAAAAAGTTAACTAATACATCTCTAGAAGCATGTTTCTAATGAATCCTGCAAGGAATTGCTTGGTGTTGGAAAACCTAACATTGACAGTTACCAATACATATCAACATAAAGCAGTTCTGTAAGGTAAGCATATTTGAACAGTGTATGTCTTTACTGATCTGCATATGCATTTGCACTTCTTGGGACAAATTAAAATACACCCAGCTGGCTGTGCAAATGAATTATGAGAGTGACTGGCTTTGGTTACAACCAGTCTTCTGACTCAGCAATTTTAGTGCATCCACATATGCATTAATAAACCCCATAGATGTTGCACACTAGACAACAGTAAATCACATGCATATCATACGGTCTAAAAATATATCAGCTCAGACTCCATTTCTTCTCTATGCTTCTGTTTTGTTTCCCTGAGACTGCCCTGTATAGGCTGGGTAAACCCAAAGGTGAATGGGGAGACAGTTCAGCTGCCTGAACATTGCCACTGGATGAAGGGGATGACACCAACAGGAGAGCTGCAGGTCTGTGGCCTAAAGGTTGTCTCGAGGTCAGTCCCCAATGCCTCTGAGCAGGATGCCACTTCAGCAGAGAAATATAGAGAAAAACTTCTTAAAACTTTTGAGTTTGACAAAGTCTAATTACCATGCCCCAATTCACAGGACACATTTTGTCTATGGGGCAGACTTATTAACCCTGAAACGGCTTCTGTAGTGCAAACTGCAGGGCCTATGAAAAATACTCATCTCTGACAACATCAATTGCAGACAAGTGTAACAGTCTAAAGAACTGTGTCACATTTCAGCACTTACAGTAGCTCCGTGTCTCTCTACATAGGCTTGACATATTCCTGATTCATAAAATGGTATCTAAAAGTAACAATAAAAAAATAAATCAAGTGCTTGGTATTAAGCATAAATTAAATTCTAGTACAACAGTGACTTTCCCTTTGAAAACCATGCAAGGGAATAGTTAAGCCAACACTTTATCCTGTGTTTTAAAGGAGAAAACTAAAATTAGCTCAGGTGTTTGCCATACTGTAATCTCATGTCTAGCTAAAGATACACTCACAAACAAGCCAAGCAAGCCAAAGGCTTCCCAAAACAAAGCTGCAGAACTCTGAATGCTGCTTCTCTCCTTATGAATTGGGTGGCACTTTACCAATTTAATCCATTTCATTCCACAGATTGGAAAAAAAAAAAAAAAAAAAAAAAAAAAGGACTTAAGTTGCCACTACACCACTAACGCAAAAAAATAAAAGACTGCTTTAAATGCAATATTTTTACTTAACCTTGATCCTCAAACAAAACACTTCTTAGAGAAACATAACATGTATGTGTGACAAATACAACACACCCTGTCCATACTCTGGTTCAGACTGACCAAGAAGCAACAGGCCTCACATCCTTGGGATGAACTTGCAAGCTGAAAAGTCCCTGGCTCACCTACAAGGGAGTGAAGGTATCTTGAAAAATATTTCAAAAGGTGTTTTTGAAACCCAAAAGTACAAGATGACCAAAGTACAGAAAGAACTATCAGCACTAAATCAAAGACATCTGTCTTGCCCATACTACTGATTAGAAGCCAACTATTTCACTCTTTAAATATTAAAATCAGGATGAGCCCAATCTGAGCACACCCTGAATGGCCAGACTGTACAACAGCTGGCCTGCGTGGCAGGTGATTCTGTTGGAGCAGGGACTCCTCTGAAGTTTAGAGATTCTATACTGGAAATTAAGAGAACCTTTCTTACAAGAGGTCAAGAGACCATTTTCCTGTGATCTACAGTGACTGAAAGCATGCTGAATTCATGCTATGAAGAATTACTAATCCATGCAGCTACTGAGGTACTATAAACATGGTAGGGATAATTCAATTAGACATGAATTGTTGTCAGAGTATGAGACAAAGATTGGCTACAGCCACACATAGGCTCCAAAAATGAAATCCAAAAAGGAATCCACTCTGAACCTCATGTCTCAACAGAAGGGCCCTCTTTACTCTTTTGCACCTCTGACTCCCTCTAGAGTTAGCCATTCTAACTCAGTTTCCCTTTTCATGTTTCTTCCATGTGTAATTATTAAGGTAAATCTTGGCATCAAACTTCCTGAACCTTGTCAGAACACTGTTAAAACTTTGCTGAATTCCATCAGACCCATCCAACTCTGTCAAATTATTATTTTACCTCAATAAAACATAGTGCTGCTTCTCTCTTTTGAGTGAGGTGCACTCTGCTTATCTACAGCAGTCTGTAATTACAGATACTTATTTACACAGTGATACTGACCGCCATCACAACCGAAATTTGATTCAGTGTCCCCATAACAGGTGCAGAAAGGACTTCTTGATACAGGAATAATAATTGTCTATGAAAAAAGTGAGAAAGAAAATAAAAACATTTTCTTTTTCCCAGCTTAAATTTATTTTCCTTACCTTTTACAAACACAGTACATTCCACCTTTATCAGTTTCCATTGGTTCTGTATAATTGGACTAGTCCAAGTTACTTGCTCTAGGTGGCCCACAACAGTCTAAGACAAAGATTACAGGCCTTTGGCACACAAATGGAGTTTTCCAAAAGTGTTCCTTTTGGCAGAATTTCTCATTTCTCCCCTTTTCTTTTAAAGGGAACAACAGAATACTCAGTGAGTGCCAAGAAGCCTACATCTGCTTTCCAGATAATCTTTTTGCTTAGTCTCAACCAACACGAAGCATCCCAGCATTGCAGGTAAACAGATTAATTTTGCCGGTTTATTTGTTTGAAGTATGTGGATTAGTTAGTTTTAGCCTGTAAAATTTAAACCATAATATAAATTTATTTTTCTGTTCCCCAATAGCCAGTGAGTCCCCTGCTCAAGAAAATATAAACCTATAATAAACATTTTTGTACCGTTTGCCACTGATAAGAATTTTGCTGATTTTATTAGAGTTAATTCTAGTACTGCTAATAAAATATTTGAACCACTAGCAGCTTCTGGAAATAAGAGCCCTCAAAACTCTTTACCTGCAAGTCTTTATCTGTGTACTCCTTGCCTCACTTTCTGGTATCTGAGAACTCAGTGTTACTGTTGCAGCACAGAGTTTTTGCAGTTCAGGCAGACTGACAAAGAACAGTGACTGGTGTCTGGTGCTATTCATGGTATGTTGTTGATTGCCCCAAAGCAGTACCTGGGTCTTAAAATAATACAAAAAAAAAAAAAATTCATTTTTTTAAGGCTGGTATTTGTTTACAGGACTTTATATGTTATTAGGTAAATTAATAATCAATTATATTTTGATTAAGAATATAGAGAAAATATAATTTGGTCAGATAAACCAGCTGAATATTCTTTTTCAATATGTAATGTATTATACTTGACAAAATAATTATTTGCAAGAGCCAAAATATTCAGAGTAAAGACAAGGACAAAAGAATAGAGTACATGTATGATCCTTGCCATATTAACTGAGCACATGCAATGGAACCCAGTCATTTTGGAACTTCCTAAAAACCACTGAAAAGAACCCAAAGAACCAGAATTTCAGACTAAGAATATGATTCTTTGATGCAGTACTAACAAACATGTGAATGGGAATAACATGAATTTATATTATCCATCTTGCTGGGTCCCTGTTGTGTGCTCCTTATCCCTGCAGCACAGGCCAGGCTCAGTGTAATGAGTTAGATTATTCATGACAAAAAAAATAAATAAATCTAACATTTCATTATTTGAAGAAAAATACACCTTTTAACTGTACCACCTTTTTCAACCAAAGTATTTCAAAGAAATGCAGGTAGTTAGAAAGCCAGGAACAAACACTGCTCACCAGAAAAAGCTGGTTTAATATTTTTCCCCTCTCCAAACCCTAAAACAATTTTGGGAAATGGTCTTACTGGCACAGTGAAGACAGCAATAAATATTTTTATCCCAAATTTTATGAATTTGCCAGGTATTCAAATTTGTAAATTGTGATAAAACAATTATGAACTGGAAACATATTTTGAGGAACAATGTCAAAGATACCTTTGCTGTTCTGATTTTGCTTCACTTTTTTTATAGTGTAACACTTTAAACAGATTAACCTCTGTCATATCCAAGAAAAATCGCAAGGTTTTATAACTGTCATTTAAAAATTTTTACAACTGTCATTTAAAAGAAAAGAATGTTTTCTTACTTCTTACCTTTAAGGGAAAACACATTTCAATTTTTTTCGGCAGTCATGAAAAGTAGGGGTTTTTTTAAATGTCAGCCAAGACTATCACTTCATCAGAGAATTCCAAAAGCTACAGCTCAAGGGAAAGCTCAATTTTAAACAAATGAGGAACAAAAAAAAAAAATATTGTCCTTATGCAACCATGGAAAAGAACGCATGAGTCCTCAGCTTTCATAATGTTTATTGGGGATTTTTGTGGCAGAGATGTTGTAAAACACACGCTGCAACGCTCCAGTGCCCTGCTTGCTTTTTGGGGATGACTCCCCTGTGGGAACAACTTGCTGTATTAAGCCTAAGTTAAATCTTCCCAGACATCTTAAAAGCTAATGGGACAGAGTGCTTGCAAAAAGCTTCTCCCTTCAGGGGAGAGGATAAAGAGAAAAGTAGCAGATAACACAGAACTGCCAGTTAAGAAGGAGCTACTGGTTATAAATCATTGGAAATAAACAACCGCCCTCTGTACAAGAGGACTTTACATGCGTGGGAGAAACTGTACATTGAGAATTGCTGTGGGAGAAACCTTTACAAGCCAATAATCCCAGCACGTGAACTTGAAACCATTGCTGAGCTCCTGCTAAACTGAATAGAACATCAGTCAGGGAATGGCTATTGCTGTCTTTTCTGTCAGAACAGGCAACTAAACCCCAGAGCTTGAAAGCAGTATTTGCAATTTTCAGTAACAACCTGGAAATTTGAATGAAGAACCTCCTCATTCAAGCTGGGCACAACATCAATCCGAGCGAGAGTAGCTACTCTTACTGTCAGGATGACTGAAAAATTGAGGCAGGATCTGAAGATGGTGGTGGCATTCAGTGAAGTACGAAGCTGTCCTGCACTCAGGCTCAGGCTGCAGAAGTTAAGCACCAACTTTCAGGAAGGGTGACAGGGGAAGTTTTATGCTACAAAAAACCCCGCAAATCCAGCCTATAATCATGCCTGAGTGTGTCCATGGGACTATTGCTGCTGAGGCACCCAAATTGTGTATGGACGTGACATGGGGATATGGAGACCCATACTGGCCTGAAATACAGACAAGGCCACCGAATACATCTGAGACAAGAGCAAAGGAAACAAATTTACCTCAGCCGAAACTGAAGGGAAACAGGATGGTGATTCTCAGAAATCAGAAGCCTCACCGAGAGAAGGGGAAGGCACTGCTCCCTGTGCCCTCAGCCCACCTGGCACCAAGGCAGGGCAGTGCCACAGGGAAGTGTCGCTCCAAGCCCCGCGGGAGAGTTCTCCCAGCGGGATGGTTTTGAGGAGCTGGGCGGAAGCGCCTGTGGCAGGGGTTCTCCCGCCGGGATCACCTCACGGGCTGCGCGGGAAAAGCGGCAGCCGCGCGCCCCCCGCCCTTGGGCACCGCCGCCTGCCGGGATCAGGGAACGTGTGTGACTTCCCGGGCAGCCCCTGCCTGTGGGGACACCGCAGGAGAGCGCACGGTGCTCGGGCGGTCACAACGCCGGCCAGAGCCCCGGCACAGCCGAATTCTGTCCGGGTGTAACTCAGCCCGCTCTCGGCGCTACCTCTGCCCATGGCAAAGGCGCTTTAGCCGGGCACAGGCAGCTCTTCGCCGAGCCGGGGCGCCAGCCGGCTTTAGCACAAAAGCACGAGGATAATCCATTTTAGATGTTAGGAAACAAATCTTTACTGCGAGGGTGCTGAGGCACTGAAACAGGCTGACCAGGGAGCCTGAGTCACAGAGTCACAGATTATTAGGGTTGGAAGTGACCTGTGGAGATCATCTAGTCCAACGCTCCTGCCAAAGCAGGGTCACCTGATCAGGCTTCACGGGAACGCGTACAGGTCGGTCTGGAATGTCTCCAGAGAGGGAGGCTCCACGACCTCCCTGGGCAGCCCCGACCGGCCCATCTCTTGCCACTCTCCATGTAAAGGTCTTCATGTTAAGCTGAAACTTCTTGTTTTTTAGTTTATGGCCATTGCTCCTCGTCCTGTCTCACTGAAAAGAGTCTGACAGCTCCCTGAGTCTCTTCCCGTATGAAGCGCTGTATGCTCCTAAACATCTTTGAGGCCCTGTGCTGTTCACTCTCCAGCACCTCCTTATCTTTCTTGTACTGCAAGGGGTTCAAGGCTAGGCTGGATCAGACTTTGAACTACGCGGGACTCGTGGTTCTCATAGCAGGGGAATTGGAACTAGATGACTTAAAAGGTCACTTCCAACTCAAACCATTCCAATGTGGTTCTACATTGCAAGTCAGCGATTAGCTCGTCGCAGCGCACACCGACAGCCCCACAGTTCGCTGCTGCCAAAGGTGGCGAACGCTGGGTTGACCACCGGAGGAAGCGATAGAGAAGCCGCGACTCCAGCGCCCAGCAGCGG